AGTAAAATAGTAAAACAATTTTACCATGTGTAGATAACCTTACAACTTTATTATAAGCATAAAATATCCCACTTAATATTTAAATTTATAAAAATATTTTAAATGATTCTCCCAAAAATGTTACACATTTTGTAATATGAAGAGTGCTTGAATACTAAATATTTACTTTCAAAAGAAAATGAATATATTAAATATACAAATTAAAATTAATTTTTTAAGATGCTCAAAACACAGTTTTAAACAAATAATACCAAGTTTTTTGACTTTAATATATAGTTTATTCACCTCGTTTGCTCTCAACATAGTGATCATTTTTTTCTTTAAAATCACTACGACTTAATGAAGTTTTGAAAATAGTTTTCAACGAAGCATCTTCTGATTTACATTTCTAAAACAATATGGACAATCTTGTAAAAGTATTATTTAGTATAATTTACAAAATTTCTATATTATATTGATTAAGGACATACATCACAAAAATAATGTTTGATGAGTTTTGACTGCTTTCTTGTTATTCCAATACAATCACCATGATACCAATCTTCACATGCATCACAKCCACTATAATTAATAAATGAAACGCATTTAAAAAATATTTATCAAAAGCAGTTTTCTAAATAGCAAGCATAACAACATAAAAACATGTTCATTACAGACATCAAGTTATTAATTTTAAAATATTTATAGAAAATTAGGAAAAACATATTTATATTATGCTCGTGTTATACTTTAAACATAATAATAAATATTAAATACTTAATAACATGACAAGATCTTAATTTAAGTAATGTAATTGTATTATGCATAAAAATGTACTCATGGTAAATTAGGCTATAAGTGATATGAATTATATACCTAATGATTTAGCTTAAGTTAAAAAGAAGATCATTCAGTTTTAATACTYACATCATAAATCTAGAACTATCTGATGATCGACAAATGCAATATGCTTGTCCATCTTGTTTAAGTAGAGTCGCAATTTTAGATTTACGCTCTGGAAGCATAAATTGCTTGGCAATTTCTTCTTTCTACAGTATAATTAACATATTATTGTATACATATATTTAATTTACAAATAAATATTAAAATATATACTTACAGATAGTCGAGGCATATTATCATATGTATTGTCAATGAATTAAGGTTTTAATGTGATGTCCCGACGATATTTTTTACATCTAACAACTAAATTATCAGAGAAAAAAAATACGTCGTGGGAAATAGCTTATTTAGGGTAAGTTAATAATACGATTTAAGATAGGTATCTTAAATCGTGGTTAATAGTAAATAGCAATCACTAAATACTAATCCATAGAGCCGCTCTGCTGAGTAGTGAGTTAGTGTGTAGTAACAGAAGTATTGAAGTCTGTGATAGTGTGATTGCAGTAAGCACACGAATAATATATAAAAATATTTTTATATATCTGTGACTTGTGAGTAAGCAGCATGTAAGCAGTAAGCACTAAGCACAGACGACAGACTCACTAGTCACTGTCTAGTCAAAGTCAAATATATACTATTATAGATAAGTCTGTGGGCACTAATCAACCGCAGGTTATCAGCAAGCAATACCTACAACAACGATGTAGATAATAC